GTGTGTGTGTGTGTGTGTGTGTGTGTGTGTGTGTGTGTGTGTGTGTGCTGGATCCCTTTGGCAGTCTAGTGAAGCCAAGGGACCCCTTCTCAGAAGAAGGCTCTTGAATGAATAAAATACACATGAAATCAATTCTGTGGAAATAATTATTAAAATATTAAATAAAAGAAAACAAACTTCAGTGACAATCCTCAAGAACTACAATTTCAATCCCTCAACCCCCTCATAGAAATAAAAGCTCATGGGAGCCTAGGTTAAGAATCCCCGTTTTAATCTCTCCACCCTCTCAAAGCTCACCACCTCCAAGAAGCTTTCCAGGATCGCCCCCAGTCTCACGACTCCTTTCTCCCAGGCCCTTCTGCACCGAGGTCACTAAGCTGCTCCAGGTCACACCTGGGCACCTCCTGCCTCTCCCCTCCCCACATTCCCCAGTCTCTTCATTTGTCCGGGGCTGCTACCTTTGCCATCCGGATCATGCGCTTGGCCACGTCCAGATCGCCTTGGTGGTTCTGCCCGATCTCGGCGATGATGAAGCAGGGATGGCTCCCCCCGACCCAGCGGCCGGGGCACAGCTCCACCTCCAGCGGCATCGTGGGGTCCCCGGCAGCGTAACCCAGCCCAGGCACTGTTTCCGGGGCTCTGCTCCCCTTACCTCCCAACCTCCGGCAGAGCAATCCAGCCCAGCCTACCCCGGACGCAACACAGGCCACGTCAGTGGAGCCTCCCACCTTGGAGCGAGCCAATCCCCTTCCAGCCGGCCGCCCACCTGACGCCCTGGAGCCAATCAGGGAGACGCAGAGGGCTGGGGCCGAGCTAGCGGGAAGTGGGGAGGAGCTTGCGGAGCTGGAGCTTGCCTGGGCTCCTGGAGGTCGAAGCCCAGCCCCTTCCCCGAGGTGGTGGGGTGCTATATTCAGCCCTGAGCCCCCGGCCCCGTGGTACTCCTGTGACCTGGAGTTAACAAGATCATGCAATGCATGTGATGCTCTAAATAAAAAGAATGAATGAATGAATACATAAAAATGAATACTGTCAACACCCAAAACATCCTGTAATCCCCCCTATTCTAGGGACAGTTTCGATGAGCTTGTAGAGGAAAAAATGAAATCACACATTTAGATCTACTCTTTATTTATCTTGTATGAGACAGTTATTTACATCTTATCTGACCAGTTAGAGAGTGAGCCCCTTGAGGGCAGGGTACATGATTCTTTACATGTTGTCTCTCCCATTAGAAAGTGAGTTCCTCGAAAACAAAGGCATTTTTCTTGTCCTTTCTATCACCAGTGCTTAGTAAGATGCCTGTCATATAGTAAGAGCTTAATAAAGGTGTGTTACCTGTTTATTTCACAAACCATATACATCTAGTCCAGGGATTTTTCATCTTTTTTTATGTTATGGCCCCTTTGGCCATCTGGTGAAAACTATGTGTTTTTTAAAGGCATAAGGTAAAACATAAGATTACAAAGGAAACCAATTATATTGAAATAGTATGTGTGTGTATATATATATATATATATATATATACACACACACATATATACATATATATATATATATACATACATATATATGTATAGACCGCAACACATGGTGCTTTTTATTGAGACACTGGCAGTGGCTGCAACATATTACTAAGGCACTTTTCTTATACAAAAAATGGGCAGGGCTTTAATTAATTTCTCCAAGACAGCCCTGGGGACCTGACTTGAGAGCTTTTGGGCATAATGTAACTTTATATAGTTTATAGTCTGTAGGGTTGACTTTTTTTTAAATTTTAAAGTTTTCTTTGCTCATAGGTAGTAAGTCTGAGTAATGCAGCACATATTACAGTTTAGAATACAGCCAGTGTTTGGTGGAAAAAATGAAAACTGCTCCCTAGAACCACAGTTCCAGTGGAACGGCAGTGATAAAGACCTTGTTTTATTCTTGAGAGACACATAAGACTGTGAAGACTAAGGACTTTTAAACTGGAATCAGTTGGAGTATATTTTTAAAAATAATTTTATGCAACTCAGGTTAAAAACCCCTGATCTCTACTCCAACTCTTTCATTTTACATGGAAACCCAGGGAAATAAAGAGACTTGCCCAAGGTCAGGCAGGAGACAAATGAGAGAACCAAGATTTAAATCCAGTTCTTCTGAATTCAGAAGCACTGTTCTTTTCATCATACCTGTCCTTTTTGCCTCATCATGCAGGGGTGGAGAACCTTCGGCTTTAAGGCAACATGTGGCCTTCTAGATCCTTTTGTGACCTTTTGACTGAATCCAAATTTTACAGAACAAATTACATGTGTCCTCACCTCTGAGGACAACTGTCTTGGCCATAAGACTTTGCAAACTTAATTGAGGTTGGTCCTCCAGATGACAGTCTATTGTCATTGTTCTAGTGAAACTTTCCTGAATTCCATTGGCATAGCTTTTGAGAATTTGGGTCACTTCCACCTCCCAAAGGAAGCTTTTACTTAATTTGCTAAGAAGAGGGTAGACTCTTCTTATTATATTAAATTCTATTTATCTGGGTGTGCCTTGGTTTTGGGTGCCACTTATGATATCATTGGTGTATGTGTGGTGCGGCTTTGTCCTTCATTCTCAAAGAGGGCCATGACATCAGGGAGGTGATGCCATGACATGAAAGTGAATTGGATTTAAGTGAGACAAAGCTGTGCAAAGTCACCAGCCTCACTTTCTCCTCTGGAGCCATCTGGCACCAGGGGTGAGATATAGATCAGAACAACCAGAGATGGCTCAGCAGTGTAAGAAAGCCTTGTCAAGGGAATGTCTTTCACTAATGCAGCTTAGCTAATGCTCTGCAACTTGGGAAGCTGTAAGTCTTATGTCCCGAAAGCCCATTGGTACGACACTCTCTCCTTATTAGTGGCGATCAATGCCCCACATTTGCATCTGGAATGGGGCAAGTGGGCAAGAGGGAATTGATGAAAACCAGAGAGAGTCCCTGGGACTTGGTTATACAATCCCTACAAATATTGTAAGTTCCCCAACGGGCATCAAACTTTAAATAAAGTATTTGCATTTCCCACAGTGCATTGCATGTGGTAAGTGTTTAATAAATGTTTGCTGATAGAGCACTGAATTTGAACTCAAGAAGACAGGTTCAAATCCTGCCTCAGATATTTAGGAGCTGCAGCTAGGTGGCACAGTGGATAAAGCACCAGCTATGGAGTCAGGAGGGCCTGAGTTCAAAAGTGGTCTCAGATTCTATGTGTGACCCTGGGCAAGTCACTTAGCCCTGTTTGCCTCAGTTTCCTCATCTGTAAAATGAGTTAGAGAAGGAAGTGGCAAACCATGCCAGTATCTTTGCCAAGAAAAACCTAAATGGACTCACAAAGGGTCAGCATGACTGAAACATCTCAACAACAACAAAATATCTTGGCTGAGTTACTTCAGTTCTCTCAGATTTCAATTTCTTTATCTGTAAAATTGGGAAATTAAAAGTAATGACCTAAAAAATCTCACATTGTTGTGAGGAGCAAGTGAAATAATGCTATTATTGTTATTATTATTATTATTATTATTATTATTATCATTCTATTATAGGGTATTCCAAAAGTCCTTGTGCCATTTTAAGCTTTAATAACTTAAAATAGGTAATATATGGAAACACCTCAAGTGCTATATATTGTTTATTATGATAAAGTTAAACTAACTTTAAAGTGGCCCCAAGTATCCATGCAGGCTGTTCTTCCAACCAGGAAAGTCTATTTGGGAAACAAAATCATTATCCCAATGAATTGAGGCCGGGAGAAACTGGGTAGAGGGAGCCCAACTTAGGCTATTGCAAAAGCAATGACAAAATCAGGATAAGCAGAGATCGGTAACTTTGGGGATTAATGTCATTAAACCTGATGCATCATCTTTGCTATACAGATATATAGAGATGGGAATATGCCTGTTAGCCTTTGGGGCACCCCCTTCTCCTAGATGGTGCTAGTGGCATACGTTCTTATGTAATTCTCCAATTTCAATATTGCCCTCTAGTCAATCAAAACAGCTGTCATTACAACATTCCCTCATAAGGACTTCATTCATTCATTTGTTTAACATTCATGAAAGTCTCACTCTGTGTAAATAACTGTGTTGGGTGGGCAGAGGGAAGAGATCTAAATTTCAGAGAAAATTTAATCCCTGTGATGAGAGAGTTTCCAGTCTGGACAAAGGAGAGGGGGGACTTATACAGGTAAAATAAGAAAGCTAGGTCCTGATTAATGTGAACAATTAATCCCCTGAAGACATCACATTTTTCAAATTTGTGCTGCAAATTTCCATTGGGGTGGAACCCAGTACCAAATCTTACATAATTATAACTCCCAAATAGTGCAAATTCAAATACATGCAACCGCTTCAAGGGATTTATTATTCGAACTAATTGGGACTTAGCTGTACAAAACCTGGTGACTTTGATAGAGCAAGTATTTATTCCCACTTTACAGATGAGAAGATTGACTCAGAGAGACTCACTAAGGCTTCCAGTTAAATGTCAGGATAAGTTCTTAAATTTTGGACCTGGAAGGTTATCTACTCCAACGTCATTTCACAAGTAAGAAGTGACTCGCCTTATATCATACAAGCAGTAAGTAAAAGAGATAAAATTGGAACCCAGTGCACACTATGAAAAGTGATTATTAATTACCAATATCTTGGAGATTCAGAACTTCTCCCCCCCCCGCCCTTCACTTCTTTCAAAGTCCTGACTTTAAGTTCAGTCTTTCTTCAGAAGGATATTGCTGATGAGATCACATTGACTCTCCTTATTCTGATCAGCCCCTACCCAAACTTGCAAGTAATTTAATCTACAGTAGGGAAGTCCATTGTGTTCTATTCAAGCTTGGGGAGAGACAGATTCTTTTGTCTAGATAGCCAAAGGCTGGGAGTCGTGTGGTATAGCGTGTCCAGGGGTGAAATGATGATGTAGTGACTGCAGCCCATTAGAAGGGTGTATAAAGTGTGCACCCTAACCTAAGATTGATGGTACTTTCCACCGTACCACCCAGTCTTCTCGCTACACACAGCTTGTGATAACATAGATGTTACAATTTCCAAGGTATCACCTGTTTTAGATCAGCTACCTTTTCAACTGATGCCTTCCTCTATTAGAGAGGCACAGTATGCCCCTTGCTGAAATTTAGAGAATGTCCTAGACTTTAGGTGTAACATCCTGATATTTGGGTGTCCTAAACAAGAATTGACGGGGCAGGTAGGTGGCGCAGGGGATGGAGCGCCAGGCCTGCCGTCAGCAAAACTACTCTTCATGAGTTCATATTCAGCCCCAGATGCTTACTAGTTGTGTGACCCTGGTCAAGTCACTTAAACCTGTTTGCTTCAATTTCCTCATCTATAAAATGAACGGGAGAAACCTCTCCAGTATCCTTGCCAAGAAAACCCCCAAAGAGGTCATGAGGAGTCAGACATGACTGAACAACAATAAATAGCTTTGTATACATTTATTTGCATGTTGTTTCTCCCATTACATTGTGAACTCCTTGAGGCCAAGACTGTCTTTTGCCAGTGAACTGGAGAAGGAAAAGGCAAAATCCACTCCAGTATCTCTGCCAAGATTATAATATGATCTCAAATGAGATCATGAAGAGTCGGATATGATTGAAAAATGACTGAACAACAACAACAGAGACTTGAAAATTGCAATATTATCATTGTCAACTTTGACCTGTCATC